TTTGGGGGGGGGGGGTGTTGGGGGGGGGGGGGGGGGGGGGGGGGGGGGGGGTGAGAATGAGTCGGTATAGTACAGTGTGAAGAGATGGGTCTTGAGGGCGGTTTTGAAGGCTGTCATAAGTTTCATAAGAATTTATTAAGTCAGTATCTAACAAAAATGTAGGAGAACTATTCTGAGAAGAATTAGCATCTGTTTGAATTAAGTAAATTTCGTTTATCATTTGCACAACGAGAAAAAAAAACTATCTTAAAATGTTTGTTTTTTTTGTTCAATGCCATCACAAAGTCACTAAAACAAGTCCAGATCTAGTATTACAGAGTTCATTAACGACAAATACAGCTATACAATATTACAGACTACACCAACTACAAATTCACTATAAAAAAAAAACCCAGCTAAAATGTTAACAGAGTTCAATAACTACAAATTATTTTAAAACATTTTGTTTTTAAAAAACGAAAACACCCATATACTTCCTTTTCGTTTCAAAATTCCAACACTTATTATTCACAAAGAAACAGCACTTGAACGCGACCCAGCAGTAAGTGTGATCCGATTTTATTGATACAAAAGTATCGCGTTAGATGGAGTTTTTTTTTTTATCCCTTTAATCAGAATCTAAGCTTGATTTGTTTGAACATCTGCAGATCGAGATCCACACTCTGCTGATTGTCTATTTAATCACTTTGTTCTTTCCAATGGTAAGTGCCCGATCACCCTTCAGATAGACAGACAAACACGCGGAAAGGCAGACAGGCGGACAACCAGTCTGGCACGTGGACAACCGGGTCTGACAGGCGGACAAACAGTCTGACACGTGGACAACCGGGTCTGACAGGCGGAAACCAGTCTGACAGATGGACAAAAGCTGACACACAAAAACACGTTTTCAGCCAAACCAAAAAGACAGACTGACAAGACTCGCTTTTTTCATTACATTTCACATAACCATTAAATAGGCCTACATTTCTTTCAATACAGTGGTTCCCAACCTTTATATTGCCGCGACCCTTTAATACAGTTATTCGTGTTGTGGTGACAGCCCAACCATAAAATTAATTTCTTTGCTACGTCATAAACATGTATTTCCCGATGGACTCAGACGACCCCTGTGTAAGGGTCGTTCGACCCCCATATGGGTGGCGACCCACAGGTTGAGAGCCGCTGTTTTAACATCATCATTGACCTCGCGGTCAACCATCTTTCAGTGAATTATCTTAAAGACTTAAATATGCCCATACTTCAGTACGTTATCTTTGACATCTGGATGATTATGAACGAATGGCGCTACACCAAAGCTCCGACGGACAACGTGCTCTCAGCCATCATCACCCTGTTGACGGACCTGGTCCTGTACCCCTGCCTGCTGATATCATATTTCACGAAGAAAAGATGCTTTCTTGTGTACGACAAACGTGAGACAGCGAATCCCATCTGAAAACGAGGCCGTGGTCTTCTAGTCACCAGGTCGAGGACGTCGAGATGGCTGCTCTCTCCCTTGTGTTGCATTAAAATCATTTTGCCAGTTCGTTATATCATGATGTTTATTGCTACACTGTCGGTGCGTTTGTTCACAATAAGTGGTCCCCCCTTTTTTTCAACATCGTTTTTTTTATTTTAAATAAAGAGATAAAAATCATTAACAATCTCTTTTGTTCTAATCAATAAAGCTGACAACGGAAGATATGTGTGTGACAAAAATTTTTTTTTTTAAAATGTCTGTGGATTGACATGTGGATTGACATGTGGGTTGACATGTGGGTTGACATGTGGTTTGAAATGTGGATTGACATGTAATGACATGTGGTTTGACATGTGGGTTGACATGGTGGTTGAAATGTGGATTGACATGTGGAATAACATGTGGTTTGACATGCGGTTTGACATGTGGATGGACATGTGGTTTGACATGTGGATTGACATGTGGTTTGACAAGTGGTTTGACATTTGGATTGACATCGCAAATGATGGCGTAACTGACATTGGATGCTTAGACTCATATTAAGAGCTTGTGGGAGGTGGGGTGGGTTTCCTAATGATGGTCCTTCTCGAAACACTCCAAAGTGCTGACACCGACACGGCCCTCCATTAAGCAAGTTTAAGATCAACTCATTTATTTATTTGATAGTATTTACGCGATACGTCGATACCATAATGTCAGAGCAGTGGAACCCCGCTATAACGTGAATTTGGATACAACGCGGTTGTGAAACACAGCTTCCCAAATGTCGTCTATTCATCCCACCCCCAACTTTTTTTTGTACGTGGAAGGGGGGGGGGGAGTGCAGGCCTATACAAATATTTATTCTCGTAGTCCAACTTCAAAGCTCACTAACTAAAGGAGATTATACAAATAAAGGGCATTTACCCCCTCAATTTCAGGCTTTATACTTTATTAAAATTGCTATGTACTGTGGCGCCTCCAGTAAGTAATAAACAACTCAACAAGCGGGCCAAGTTTTGGTTTTGCCCCCACCACTCCCCCCCTTCCCCCCCCCCCCAACGAAGAAGACCTGAAGCGATGTCCATGCAACACGACAACTCCTCCAGTAAGCAACAAACCACCCCCCCAGCGGGCCAAGTTTTGGTTTTGCCCCCCCCCCTCCCCCCCTTCCCCCCCCCCCCAACGAAGAAGACCTGAAGCGATGTCCATGCAACACGACAACATTTCTATAAAAGCGTGCTCCGAGTGTATCAACCCAAAATTATCGTTATAGTTGTAGCGAACTTTCACATTGATTAATGTCAGTATGTAGATCCACAACTTTACGTTAGTAGCTCTGTCAAAGGTTTCATGTCAGTATGTAGGCCTAATGTATGCCCATAGCTGGTGGCAATGACAGTTGAGGGAGAATTCCTCCCATAAAAATCATTTCAAGATTTCATAGAGAGGTAATGGAATTTATTCAATTCCATGTTTCAAGGCTTGGCAAGTCTCACTCCTTCGTAGGTTGGAAGTAGCTAACACATTAATATCAACTGGTTGGAAGTAGGTTGCACATTGATATCAACTGGTTGGGAGTAGGTTACACATTGTTAACAACTGGTTGGAAGTATTTTACACATTTATATCAACTGGATTGAAGTAGGTTACACATTGATATCAACTGGTTGGGAGTAGTTTACACATTGATATCAACTTGTTGGAAGTAGGTTACACATTGATATCAACTGCTTTGGAGTGGGTTACACATTGATATCAACTGGTTTGGAGTAGGTTACACATTGATATCAACTTGTTGGGAGTAGGTTGCACATTGATATCAACTTGTTGGGGGTAGGTTGCACATCAATATCAACTGTTTGTAAGTAGGTTGCACATTGATATCAACTGGTTGGAAGTAGATTACACATTGATATTAACTGGTTGGAAGTAGTTTGCACATTGACATCAACTGGTTGGAAGTAGGTTACACATTGATATAAACTTGTTGGGCGTAGGTTACACATTGATATCAACTGGTTGGAATTAGGTTACAGATTGATATCAACTGGTTGGGAGTAGGTTACACATTGATATCAACTTGTTGGAATTAGGTTACAGATTGATATCAACTGGTTGGGAGTAGGTTACACATTGATATCAACTGGTTGGGAGTAGGTTGCACATTGATATCAACTGGTTGGGAGTAGGTCGCACATTGATATCAACTGGTTGGGAGTAGGTCGCACATTGATATCAACTGGTTGGAAGTAGGTTACACATTGATATCAACTGGTTGGGAGTAGGTTACTCATTGATATCAACTGGTTGGGAGTAGGTTACTCATTGACATCAACTGGTTGGGAGTAGGTTGCACATTGGCATCAACAGGTTTGGAATCAATATGGAACCTCTGGTCTTCATAATCAACATATTACATAGAATAAGCTCAAACCTGTGCCTTAAAATGGAACATGTCTCATCATTTTAATCCTTTGAAAGATAAAATAGACTTCGATAATTCTATTTTTAAATTTTTAAAATAATAATTAAAAACATTAATTCTGAAATAAGGTTTATTTACTTTTTTTTATTTCACAAACAGCTGGTATAAGTTTTCTTGTTGATGGTGCCTGAACCATAGTAACAAACGCTAAAGTGTGTATTATTCTATAGAACATATAAATTACAAAATATTTTCAACATTTAAACCAGCTCCTTCAAGTCGTTCATCACAGACAGAACATTTCAAAGTTAATAAATTATCTTTTTTTTTACATTTGACGAATGAATTTTTTTCGTTTTTTATCGTTTTATTTCACTTATCCCAAAGATGTTTTAAACAAATATTTTAATGTAGCAACTGGGACTATTTGGTAAAATAAAAGTTATAACAAAAGTTTTTAAAACTTCTACATTATCCAAAGATAAATCAATTTATAATAATTCTCCATGTCAAATTTTAATTTAACATTGTATAAGTTAATAATAAATATATATAAATTATTGTTATTTTTTGTTGGATCTTTCAAAGGCACAAACAGCAAAACACATATAAAATAAGTTAGACATCCATTATTGCATAATCCATTTGCATTAAATCATTAAACAATTGAACCTTATTAAAACATTGATTTAAAAAGTGTATAATATAATAAAATTGTATGTTACAATTATCACAGAGTGTTAGCAAAGGAAAATCTCAAAAACTGTGAGATATGTTATGAAATGTTTCAGTAACATAAAAGATATGTTATGAAATGTTTCAGTAACATAAGAGATATGTTATGAAATGTTTCAGTAACATAAGAGATAAGATAGGAAATGGGTTATAGCTTTAAAAAAAAAAAAATTTTTTTAAGGCTCTGCACTTAAACAAGTTTTGGAACCACTGGGTCATAAAAGGCATAAAGGTTTTGAGTTAAATTTTGAAACAAATTACTGTAATAATGTAATTAAATGGTCAATTAAGATCTTTGAGACTGAAACTTTATAATTATTATAATTTTAAAGGATCTATTTTTTTGTTTTACAAAATCTTTTGTCAAATAAATTTGTTGAAAGCACTTTTTAAATATATTGGTAAAATCAACAATCTTTCTCATTGTTAAAGCAATAAGAGCTTTACACTTAGGCCTGCTCTATCATGTAGTTAAAAAGGCCTACTCCATCATGTATTTAAAAAGGTCTACTCTATCATGCATTTAATAGGCCTACTTTACTGCATATTTTTAGGCTTTCGGATGACACACAGTGACTGCAATTTAAAAAAAAAAAACTGAATTTGTACAGATGGTGAAATAAATGAATGAACTAGAATGACATGCAAATTAACAATCATTGTGGTAAATAGACCTAGCATGTCTGATAATATTGTAGTAAATAGACCTGATATGCCTGATAACATTGTGGTAAATAGACCTGACATGGCTGATCTCAGGACTGACAATTCATTTTATACCTCGATTGGTAAAAATTGTTTAAAATTGCCCAAAATCTTGGCAAAAATCATGATTGATTGAAAAAGTTAACAGATGGAATAAATCATTTTTAAATAGGTAAACAAGATTATGATACTCCATAAAAATCTCAGCAGGCAATATATTATGACATAATTACTTACATATCTTCTAACTCTAATCAAAATTTAGTAATAACTTCAAAATAGATATCATCAAAAAAATATTCATTCACACCTAAAATATACCACACAAAAAACCATAAAGAATAATTTAAAAGTTTTGTTTAAAAAAAGAATACTTTCTAGGTGCTTACAATGTGTAGCACACATTTTGGCATTGGTGATTTTAAAAAGTGTATTGAGAAATCTATATGGTCAAGTCCCACAGTCAACTCAAAGACAAGATTTTTAAAAAAAAAGTAAATTTGAACAAAAATGGATTAAAACAACATGTTAATAATTGACTTAGACTGTTAGAATGTTTCTCAGACATTCCTTGATGCATTAATAAAGAAATATTTTTGCCCTTTCATGTTAGTTACAGAAAATCATAATATAAATGTTGCATTTGTACATTTAAATTCAAGAAGTGTCCATGGTTGCCCTTCCATTTCAGCTTTAGTTAATTCTAATTTAAAAGAGTAAACCCATTTTGGTAACAATTGGTAACATTGTTTCTTGACTATCACCAAATATCATTAAATTATATATCAGGTAGATCAAAGCAACTCAAATAAATGATGGTTTCATAGGACGACACAGAGAGATGACTTTTTAGACTGTGGACTTGGACTTTTAGGTGATTTTGGACTTGCAGGTGATTTTGGCCTTTCTTCTTTTTTATCATTTTTGTGTGAATCTGTCGCCTTCCCTTGTTTTTGTTTTTCATCCTTATCTTTGTGTACCTCCTCGTCATCACTGGAGTCATCATCATCATCATCATCTGAGGTTTTCAAAAAAAAGAAAACAATTCTAATTAAAATATCATTAGAAAAATTGTGTGCATCATTAATCAGTAGAATTAGCCAGAAGGAAAAAAAATGTGTATAATGTGCTTAGTTGGTTGAAGTGACCTGTTTCTTTCTTTATAACCTTGTGGCTGACCATACCTCTTGTATATCCGTCAACAGCTGTGTGCAAACCACTGCAAAGGTTCAGCCAATAAGTCCTGGCACCATGGCAGAAAATCAGCTGGGTAGTTTTTATGGCATAAAGTCAGATGAGCAATTTTTATGGCAGTCCCGAGAGCTAGCTGTTAGGTGCAGACTTGGTGGCTTGGAAGGCTTCATCTTCACAGATTCCATTTCCATCCAGTTTGACCTTTAAACTATCACCCCTTCTTTGTCCTCCCATTAACCTCAACTAGACGAGAATATTTGGAGCTGATCCAATCGTGATGACTCCACTTCTGAGGGCCTCCTGTTGAAGTGCTGCTTGTCCCTGTATTTAAATTTGACAGTCCCTTGAGCTCACCAGCTATATGTAGATAAGGGATCAGCTAAATTGTACTGCAGCTGATTCTCCATACAACCAACCTCACCTAGCCTGGTTAGCCTCAAATAATTATAAGGAGACGCACACCAACATGGTCCTGACAGGTACTGGTAAGGCAATGAGTTGGTGGATGGAGGTAAGATTATTATAAGACTGGACCATTTTGTAACTAATAGTGATACATATCAAAAGCTCACACAATGAATGGCCATGGTTCAAAACGTACCAATGTTTACCTTTTTCCTTTGGTATCAGACCGATACATTTCTGAGCCTGGTCCTCAGTGCCAGCAGAGTAAATCTGAGATATTAGGGAAGTGGAGATTTTCTTCTTTTTGTGCTCAGTGGCTGCATCCAACATCTGTTTGATGTGCCTCTGTGCGAAATATTAGAAACTATCAGAGCCAAATTCATTTTAAATGTGATATGTGGCGTAAAATATCAGAGCCCATTCATTATATGTGTGGAATAGGAGAAATATTAGAGCCAATCATATGTGTGGGATAGCAGAAATATCAGAGCCAATCATATGTGTGGAGTAGCAGAAATATTAGAGCCAATCATATGTGTGGAATAGGAGAAATATTAGAGCCAATCATATGTGTGGAATAGGATAAATATCAGAGCCAATTAAATGTGTGAAATAGCAGAAATATTAGAGCCAATTATCATTGTGGAATAGCAGAAATATCAAAGCAAAGTTAATTTTAAATAACATAAAATATCAGAGCTGATTATATGTTCTATATAGCATAAAATATCAGAGCCATGTTATTTCTATGTGTGGCATAGTTATAGTATCAGCATAAACGTATTGAAATTGCCTTAAACTTAAATGAGAAACTGTGATGATCAAGTCCACTGAACATGAACTGCAGGAGTTTAAACCAAAAACTTACCAGCTTAGCCTCCATCTTCTCTTGTCTTTTCCTTAACATGGTGACTTCCATCATGTACTTGACTTTCTCAGCATCAAATCTCTGAAACATTGACAACAAGAATTTCACAGGGCATTACAGTACTGACAGGAAACATGATAGGGTATTATGGTATTGACAGCAAACATAATAGGGCATTATGGTATTGACAGCAAACATGATGGGCATTACAGTATTGACAGCAAACCTGATGGGCATGACGGTATTGACAGCAAACATGATAGGGCATTACGGTATTGACAGCAAACATGATAGGGCATTACGGTATTGACAGCAAACATGATAGGGCATTACGGTATTGACAGCAAACATGATGGACATTACGGTATTGACAGCAAACATGATAGGGCATTACGGTATTGACATCAAACATGATAGGGCATTACAGTATGGCAAATGTATGAGAGAATTTATCATTAAAAAAAACTATTCATATAATGTAATAATTGTTTTAAACTATGATTATGTTGTCATAAGGATCTTGGCTTAAACAAATTCAATCAATTTTAATGGATCCCAGAATGATAGTTATTTTTTACTTTAAGGTAGAAGACTTAACTAATCTATTTATTTTAAAGATGTGGAATGAAATGAACAGAAACCATTCAATGCACTGAATTGAAAATAAGTACATTGAGTTTAGAGAAGATTTTTTTTTTATGGACATTAGAATAATAACCATTCTCACTTTGAGTACCTGCAATGAAGCACTAAACCAGTGAACAGAAAACCAACCTTGACATTGTCATTAGCTGCAGAAACTCCAAGTTTTGATTTGGCATCTGCCAGATTGGCCAGCTTTGTGTTGACATTTTTCTTCTCTTTTGGAGCTTTCTGTTTGCCCCAGATTTGAACCATGATGGCACTTTCTTTAAGAAATGTAACTTCCTGTAAACAAAACACGGGTCAGACACAATGAAATAATTATAGCATAATAAAATTAAACTCATGTGTAGTCTCTATCACATACCCATAAATGAAGGTGAACAATCTAATAATTTTTACCATTAAACTTTACTAAAAATTACAAAATATTTTATAATTCTAAACTAGTTAATAAAAACTGCTAGGTATCTATCTACCTTAAACTAATTTAATAAGTCTACATTTAACTGAATCAAGTTGTCTACATTAAGCTAACTAAATATTTCTATTTGAAAGATGTCTAACTTAAAGAATTTCAATGTTTAACACTGGTCTGAGACAGACTTATTAACTTGAGGATTTCTTTCTGCCTGTCATGTTTTTATGGCTTAATGTATCAATAAAGTGACTTACTTTGTCACTAAATGTATCAATAAAGTGACTTACTTTGTCACTAGCTTTTGGGAAACTGATTACTCTTTTGTGATTCCAGTCTGGGTTTGTGGTATTTTTCACCACTTCAGTTGAAGTGAAGTTGACCTCTTCAAACACAAGATACTTTGCATAAACGTCCTGTTGAGACACAAGAAAGTACAAAACAGTTATGTCCTATTGCAACTTCAACAGGAGTTGTCAGAAAATTTCTGTGTGGATGGCAGGATTTCAACTACTGTAAAAACTGTTGGTAATGTGGAAAAAGTACTTAAGCGGAACAGGGGACTGTTTTGTGGTTGTTGTTTTTTGTTTCTTGGTCGTACACATTCAGGAGCAAATCTTTGATATCAAATACGTATAAATTTCATAAATTCATCAATCTCAGATTACATAACACAAACAAGACTTTCAAGGAAAAATCCCAACGTAAAACGAATATTTTTCTAAAACTTACAGTGAACGTGCTTGGCAACCCTCGCGCACTGATAACTTTGAAGACAAAATTGATGGGTTTTCCAACCAAGAGTTTGGGATCCTCAACGTAAACATCATCTTTCTCTGTGTATTCTTTACCTTTGGGATCACAGGGGATCAGTTCAACCTGAAAAAAACATTTAAACTTGACACATGATAAATCCTACCAATGTATTTAACGTGATAAACGCCAAGACTTGGAAAATTCTGGAGAATGATAAACGGGAAAAAAAGAGCATTAACCATTAAATCACTTTAATCCTAATGCCTACTGATGTTTTAATGTAATGTTATTAATGAAAATTTTTTATCATCCAACTTCTTTACACCTTGAGAGTTATAATTTGATACACAAAGTGGCCAGATAATTTCAATCCATTCAAATTCGACCTGATTTCCATACAGGTGGCTGTTTTGGATTTCTGTTATATTTTTTATTGGATTTTTACCCCATGAGTTTAAAGCTGAACACTCCTTGATTATTGATGTTTTAATTTATTAATAAACTTAAAGAATATTTGACATACTGGTACATATATATTGAGGAAAGAAACACACAGTCTCTTTAGACTTACCATTGAATAGACAGTGGATGGAAAAACTTGAGTTTATATAACTAAATAAATATATATATACACACACACACATATATATATATATAAATATACACATACACACACACACATATATATATATATATTTTGTGATCCATTATTCTAATTAGAAGGGAAAATGGTTAACCACAATGAAAAAAAAAACAATTACTTAAAAATTACTTACATTTAGTAAACCAACATCGCCACCCTTGTAATCTGTAATTTCAAGTTGAACTTTGGACTCAATCTGACAACAAAAAGAGTATTTTAAAAATTATCTGAGAAAAACAAACAATTGATAAATTGAATAAATTATAAACCTTAACTCTAATATGACCAGAAAGAATTTTAAAATATTTATAAAAAAGAATGAAGAATCAGCAAAATAAAATCAATGCATTTTGATGACAATCCAGCAAGTCGGCTATAAACATAGGCCTACAAATTCATTGTAGCAGAGCAGTTAGAAATATAAGCCTTAACCACAACTTACCATGAAAGAAATGGATTGTGTCCAGACCTTAACACTTCCAATATGGAAATCTGCATTGTAGTCTTCATCAAATGGATCTTTTTCCTACAGGGCAAAGAAAGACAACTGATGTTAAAACATTTGTTTATCTACTTCTCCACTGTAGAACACAAACATAGTGTTTTTGTGTAATTGACAGCTACATCTGATTAAGACAATTCATCATTATCAGTGGAGATACAGCACATGTAAAGCCCTGGCCTGCTCTACCACATCCATCCGGAGTTATCCATTGCTTTCCGCTTACCTACTCTGATGTAAGTCCTTCTCTACATCGTCAATCCATCTCAGTTTTGGTAGACCGGTGAGCCGCCCGACCCCTAGGGAGATAACTTTTTTGCCCCTCTACAATCAGCCATCCTCTCACAGTTAATAAGACAATTACATAAATTAAATCAATATCCTAACCACATAGCCTCACCTTTGGCAAATCCCATTCGTCCCCGTCCAGGTAATTCTGGTACATCTCCTGCATGACAAACTTCCTGTTGAGGAACTTTTCTCTAGACCACACCCACTCGTGTTTGGTCTCTAGGTTGATGACTCGAATCATCACCTAACAGGTGAATACAATTAATTAAATACATGTTCCTAATAGGTCAATACAATTAATTAAATACCTGTTCCTAATAGGTCAATACAATTAATGTAATACACGTTGATGGAACTAATACCTGCAGATTGTGAGGGGGAGAGGGGGGATAGCACTGTAACATGTGCACTTTCATTGTTAAATAAGCAGCTTAATTAGGTCAATGTTTATTTTGGATTCCTACATGAAATGCCTCATGAAGCTGCCATGCCTTGATGAAAAAAAGAAATGACCTACACCTCAGTGCATTCAAAGGGTAACTACTCTATCTACCTGTGTTCTTCCTGTCAGTTCACCTCTGGCTTCAGGGGAGACCACCATCAATTCAAACTTCATCTTCTTGTCCAGGTCCTCGCTGATTGAGTTGGCATTGTCTATGGCAGGCATCAAGTCTAGAACATCTTCCTGTAGCAAGGCATCATCTGCAAAAGGCACACTGGGCATTTAAGCACAAGTCTCTAGTGTCATAGTTCGTTGTCATACAAACTAAAATTTGAAGTTTTATATAAATGTTTATGATCAGGTTGTTGTTTGGTATTTTTTATTGTGTGGTGCAGAGGTTGTTGCGCACCGGGTATTCACTAGTAATGGTTGCACACCAAAAATTGTGTTCTATTGTGCAAGGCGTGTCTTGTGTGCTAGTTTATTTAATGAATTTACACCCCCAAATTACCTAGTTGTTGACTATTTGTATTGTAGCTGTGACATAGTGTCTGTATTCTATCATTGTGGTACTTCTATTTTTCGGTAGTAGGTGAGAAAACATTGTGGATGAAGGTTGTGCGATATTAATCTACTTATAGTGAGCTCCCAGATACATGGGCTTGATTCTTTGTACAGCCTGATAGATATGTTTATGGATTAAAGTTTACATTGCTATGGGAAAAGGGACTTGTGTTCAGTTGATGTGATCTTCACTATCAATGTGTAAAAGGGTTTGATAAAACAAACCAATCATCCACTGATGATAACACAGAGGTTTTTTTTGTTTAACATTGCTCCAATGAGAATTTCCCATCAAATAATTCTCCACAAAACTTTTTGTGATGTAACAAGTCAATGAGACAATTATCATGTCTGAGAACATTCTTCTTTTCATTGGCAGTCACATTTTTTATATTTATAAACATTTAACTGTCAACCAGACATTGAGAAACTTAATGTAGAAGAATCCTTGATGGGCTCGATGTTTTCTAACCTGAAGATTTGTTGGAGCTCATATCAAATCCTGAATTTTTGGCAATTTCTTCCTGGGCCATCTCAAATGTGATTTCAGGGTAGACTTTCTTAGACGCATCTCTTTCTTTAGGATGGACGAACACAAAGTACTGGGTGGTGCCAAATAGTATTCTGTTGGTAATATGTTAGGATGTTTAGCCATTTATATACATTAAAACAGCACATTCTGTGATTCGACATTTTGTGTACATTCAAAACAGCACATTCTGTGATATGACATTTGTATCAGGGCCTACATTCAAAACACATTATGTGAAAGGACATTTGTATACATTCAAAATGGCACATTCTGTGATATGACATTTGTATACATTTAAAACAACACATTCTGTGATAGGACATTTGTATATATTCAAAACATTATGTGATATGACATTTGTATACATTCAAAACAATACATTCTGTGATATGAAATTTATATACATTAAAACACCACATTCTGTGATATGACATTTGTGTACATTCAAAACAACACATGACATATGTGTACATTCAAAACAATACATTCTGTGATATGAAATTTGTATACATAAAAACAGTGACTGAAAAGAAATTTTTTGTTTTGCAACGCTACATGCAAACTGGCTCCCAGTCACTGTAATAAACTGTCACACTGCAAACTGTCTACCTGCCATTGTGACAAACTGTCATACTGCAAAATGTCTACCTGTCATTGTGATGAAGTTCGACCTTCTCCACTACAGCCTTGCCATTGTGCATCAGTCTGACATTTGGTTCTCCTGCTTCCAGAGTAAATTTGTCTCCCTCCATTCTCACTATGGCATGTTTGGCAGCTATCCTAAACACATGATAATAAGTAGAAAAATAATAATTTTGTTAAAGTTTTGATTTTTACTTTAATGAGAAAAATAATAATTTTGTAAAGTTTTGATTTTTACTTTAATGAATTTGATGAAGTAAAGCTATGTTACATGTCAAAGTAATGTAGAAATCTCTTTATAAACAATGTGTAAAAAAATATATTATGTTAATTGACATTGTTTTCTATGATAAATTTCAATCATGGTTTTAGTCAAACATGTAAACCTAGTTTTATGGTGAAGGATGTTTCATTAACAAATATAAGTGAAGCATTTGGATGGACATCTGTATCATTACAATAATGGATATGACCATTGAAATAATGGATGGGACCATTGTAATTGTGGATAGCACCAGGGAAATAATAAATGAAACTACTGAAAAGATGGATGAGCCTATGGAATTGATGAGACCCTATATCAAACATGACGAGAAGTAAGTCCTATATTTTACCCTGGCCCTGTCAAGACAAGCTCTGTTGGGCCTTCATCCTTGCCATTGCCAATTTTCTCAGCTGGTGTATCAAAGAAGTTAAAGATGTGCCCTGTAAGGAAGGGATCCAGATTCAGGTTGTACATGTGAGCTGTCGTCTTCTTACGTTGGGCGATTTCAGCTTGAGTGTTGGCTACCTGCAAGGTAAATCAAAAATACATTTATTTACCATAAAATGCAAGGCTCAAATTTATCTGTGACTAAAACATTAATTTTTGTTTTATTCGTTTCATGATTGATCACTTCATTATCCTGGCTAAACAGTAAAAAAGACCAACAATCAATAATCACAATAATCCTTAAATGCTGGTCCTCTTTCAGACATATTATTAACCATTTTAAGGCTAGGGGGGTTATTATAAATCCATAAAGCAATCACGGCTGGATGCTGGGCCAATTACAACCATTGTCATCATCAAAATCTCTCATTCTTTAATTTCGGTAACCTACTAACTCAAACTTACATCATCGAATCCTCGGCCCTGGCTCTCCTCCAAACTCATTATAACCCTATCCAACCCTCACTGCTAAATACCGAATGATGGAAACCCCCCCACCCTCTTACAAACTAATTAAACCACTTTTAAGCTCTCACCGCTGAAAGTTGCGCCTCCTTCAACTTCTCCTCAAATGTTTTCTTCATTTCTTCCATCTCCTTCTCATTGCACGCAAGCCTTGACTGATATTCCTCTTCCATCTCTGCTTTCATCTTAGCAATTTCTGGGTAAGGATAAAGAACAGAGGTGGTTTGTTTTATTATAACATTGTATAGTCTGCTATTTATTGGCATTAAACACAGTGTTACACCACTTTGAGACTCAGTAATTCATTTATAAATAGCACTGATTTTTTGCAGACAGAAAGAAAAAATGGAAAAGGTTTAGTAAAAATGTTGGCGGTAAAATTCTTAAAATGACAAGACCTTTAAGAAATTTGGAAGAGGAAAAGTGTAATGTCGCCTAAATTAATAAAAAGCAATTATATTTTTGTCAAATAAAGTAGTTCGCCTCGGGTAAATATACCACACTTTTTCATTAACTCATAGCAAACTTGTTTTCTCCTTATTTTATATCCTCACTTTGGGAACTTCTTATTAAATTTTTTCTAAACTAGAAATAACAGCTACATTCATTCAAAAGCAAATTAATCTGCATCTAGTGAGCTATGAGACTTCAGAGACATAACAGTGAGCCTAGGAGCCAGCAGGAATCAGATAAGACTGTTTCCCAAGAGTAAGCTACTCTGTCTTGCCAAAATTTGAATGCCCCCCCCCCTTGGAGCTAACACTCGTAAATTAAGAAACCCATTGCATCCCATGAAGTAGGCTGTTTCCCTTTGTCCATGAAAATAAATCAATGACACTTTCAAGTCCATTTCTTTAACAACTTTTATTTGGTGTTATGACTCCTCTACAGACTGTGATCCTCAGTCCAGTGTTATGACTCCTCTACAGAAGTGATCCTCAGTCCAGTGTTATGACTCCTCTACAGAAGTGATCCTCAGTCCAGTGTTATGACTCCTCTACAGAAGTGATCCTCAGTCCAGTGTTATGACTCCTCTACAGACTGTGATCCTCAGTTCAGTGTTATGACTGCTCTACAGACTGTGATCCTCAGTTCAGTGTTATGACTGCTCTACAGACTGTGATCCTCAGTTCAGTGTTATGACTCCTCTACAGACTGTGATCCTCAGTTCAGTGTTATGACTGCTCTATAGACTGTGATCCTCAGTTCAGTGTTATGACTCCTCTACAGACTGTGATCCTCAGTTCAGTGTTATGACTCCTCTACAGACTGTGATCCTCAGTTCAGTGTTATGACTCCTCTACTGACTGTGATCCTCAGTTCAGTGTTATCACTGCTCTACAGACTGTGATCCTCAGTTCAGTGTTATGACTGCTCTACAGACTTTGATCCTCAGTTCAGTGTTATGACTGCTCTACAGACTGTGATCTTCAGTTCAGTGTTATGACTCCTCTACAGACTGTGATCCTCAGTTCAGTGTTATGACTGCTCTACAGACTGTGATCCTCAGTTCAGTGTTATGACTCCTCTACAGAAGTGATCCTCAGTTCAGTGTTATCACTGCTCTACAGACTGTGATCCTTAGTTCAGTGTTATGACTGCTCTACAGACTGTGATCCTCAGTTCAGTGTTATGACTGCTCTACAGACTGTGATCCTCAGTTCAGTGTTATGACTGCTCTACAGACTGTGATCCTCAGTTCAGTGTTATGACTCCTCTACAGACTGTGATCCTCAGTTCAGTGTTATGACTCCTCTACAGACTGTGATCCTCAGTTCAGTGTTATGACTCCTCTACAGACTGTGATCCTCAGTTCAGTGTTATGACTCCTCTACAGACTGTGATCCTCAGTTCAGTGTTATGACTCCTCTACAGACTGTGATCCTCAGTTCAGTGTTATGACTCCTCTACAGACTGTGATCCTCAGTTCAGTGTTATGACTCCTCTACAGACTGTGATCCTCAGTTCAGTGTTATGACTCCTCTACAGACTGTGATCCTCAGTTCAGTGTTATGACTCCTCTACAGACTGTGATCCTCAGTTCAGTGTTATGACTCCTCTACAGACTGTGATCCTCAGTTCAGTGTTATGACTCCTCTACAGACTGTGATCCTCAGTTCAGTGTTATGACTCCTCTACAGACTGTGATCCTCAGTTCAGTGTTATGACTCCTCTACAGACTGTGATCCTCAGTTCAGTGTTATGACTCCTCTACAGACTGTGATCCTCAGTTCAGTGTTATGACTCCTCTACAGACTGTGATCCTCAGTTCAGTGTTATGACTCCTCTACAGACTGTGATCCTCAGTTCAGTGTTATGACTCCTCTACAGACTGTGATCCTCAGTTCAGTGTTATGACTCCTCTACAGACTGTGATCCTCAGTTCAGTGTTATGACTCCTCTACAGACTGTGATCCTCAGTTCAGTGTTATGACTCCTCTACAGACTGTGATCCTCAGTCCAGTGTTATGACTCCTCTACAGACTGTGATCCTCAGTCCAGTGTTATGACTCCTCTACAGACTGTGATCCTCAGTCCAGTGTTATGACTCCTCTAAAGACTGTGATCCTCAGTCCAGTTTTATGACTCCTCTACAGAAGTGATCCTCAGTCCAGTGTTTTGACTCCTCTACAGACTGTGATCCTCAGTCCAGTGTTATGACTCCTCTACAGACTGTGATCCTCAGTCCAGTGTTATGACTCCTCTACAGAAGTGATCCTCAGTTCAGTGTTATGACTCCTCTACAGGCTGTGATCCTCAGTTCAGTGTTATGACTCCTCTACAGACTGTGATCCTCAGTCCAGTGTTATGACTCCTCTACAGACTGTGATCCTCAGTTCAGTGTTATGACTCCTCTACAGACTGTGATCCTCAGTTCAGTGTTATGACTCCTCTACAGACTGTGATCCTCAGTTCAGTGTTATGACTCCTCTACAGACTGTGATCCTCAGTTCAGTGTTATGACTCCTCTACAGACTGTGATCCTCAGTTCAGTGTTATGACTGCTCTACAGACTGTGATCCTCAGTTCAGTGTTATGACTCCTCTACAGACTGTGATCCTCAGTTCAGTGTTATGACTCCTCTATAGACTGTGATCCTCAGCATCCTTTACATCTTGTACAATCTGACTGCTATGAAAGTATAAATTAACTAAACATTACCTTCGTCTGACAAGTCCTCATCATCATCCTTCATCACCTCCATCTTCATGTTCCCTCCCAGCATGGCCTTCAGCTTCTCGTTCTCCTCCTGTAGTTCACGAATCAGCTTCTCTGTGGGGTCCTCGTTGACGGTGGCTGTGGTCTTGATCTGCTTAGCCCGGTCAGCTGTTGGTTGAGGGGTTTACATGTTAATGGCTACTGCAACATTTACTATCAAGAACTACTGCCTTAAATAGTAACTACAACACAAGCAAAGAGAGAATTATTTCCCAAGTTTAAATGAGGCATGAACACAGGATGTACGCCAGAATGTAGTGAATGATCTGAAAATCTGGAATCTATCACAATCACCAATTGCAGAAGTTTAAAAAGCTATGCCTGAGTTCTGTATAGAACTTTTTTTTTAATGCCTCAAACCGAAGAAGTATTTCCAATTTGCCAAGCAATTTTTGTTACAAACCTAACAAACATTAATGATATTGTAAAATAATGAGTCACAGGGCCTGGGTAATAGTACAATACTAATATCTAAAAAGTTTTACTTCTGGATATTCTGTTCAAGTACTTGGGTAATATTAAAATATTATGGGAATAATGATAAAATTTAAACACTTTTGTGTGAATTTTCATGGAAGAATTGCCATCATTAAATTGTATGTGCATGTAGCATAATGCTAGCATGTATATTACCATATCTGAGGGTTGACAATGATTCATCGTAGTTGATGTCAGCCGGGCTGATGGCAGCAATCTGAGGATTAGAATGATAACAGTTGACATTACATCATTAGAGATGTCAAAGTCTCATTACCATGATGAGCGAAGGTATCAAGCAGACAACTTTAACAATAATCAACATCAACTGTTGGGTAAGTTTCCATTTATTTAAGTTTTTTTTTTTTAAATGTTGCTCCCCCCAGTAAATCATAATGTTAATCGCTCTGCATTTTTTAAAAATTGTATCAGTAATGTTAGCCACCAGCCACACCACTTCATTAAAGCAATGGCTGAAACCATCTTGAAATTTCTCATTTCCTTTTTTGGAATTTACCATAATAGTCTTACTGTTCCCTCCCAGGGCATTTTTCAGCAGCTTGGTCAAAACAGAGTCTCGGAATGGAACTGAAAATAAAACAAAAACAGGTAAACTGTAGAAGGAAATTGGACAACAAATATAATCACATATCAGAATGTGCTGAATGGTTTGAAAAGAAGAATGTTCTTTCTTCGTAAAAATTGATATACATTATTATAACTAAAATGGGTTTGTTTGTCATCTTCACAAAAATTTTGGGACCAAAGCAATACACAACTAGAAATGTTGCAAACATTAATTTTAAGAGAATTTTAAAATATTTTGCATCATCAAATGTATTTTTATTTGTAAAGAGACCAATTTAAGTGATCGCTACGCTTACCCTTGACATCTCTGCCTGATGATTTCTCCGCCAGTGCAGCAATGCAGTTGCCCAGACATGACAGGGACTGGTTGATAGCAGCTCCTTCTTTCAGTCTGTCCCCTGTAGCTCCAGTGCTCTCAGCCCTCTCACTGTACAGAGTAATAACATTAAATTTACAGGCTTCTCAAGTTAAAGATTTGAGATTATTGTCAAAGATTTGAGACTATCATCAAAGATTTTCATGATTACTAAGTTAAAAGGTTAAAAAGATGTATGCTTTTATCAGCTCTCTACTGCCAATGGATTATCACCACTAATTATTCTCTAGGTATGAATGTATGGCGGAAATGCTAAGAAAACAACTTTGTGCAAACTTTAGGTTTTAAAAATATGCAGTTAGGTCCCTTTTATAAAAAAAAAAGTTCTTGAACACAACAAATAAACAAAAGAACACAAATCTTTGAAACACCTTTACATTTTCAGAATATGCTAATGTCCCTTTTACAATTTTTTTTTTTTTAAATTTACTATGTCAAGAAAGAAGGTTTATTTGTTTTAATAAAGTACAATATGTTTTCTTTACCCAAAATCTAAAGTATAAAATATATCAAATATATGAAATATGCCATCATTTTGGAAGGGTTAATGTAGGCCTACTAGTCATTTAGATCAAAACAATTTGAATATTTCACTAGAAAAATATGGAATCCATGGATTGTCTATCTGGATCATTAAAGTGATGTTGAATCCAGGATAAACAGGATGCACTTCTGGAGTTCCAAGAATCAGTTTAAATTTTGTTCCAGCTGTTCACTCACATCTATCATATTCTTTAACTTTAAGTGTTAGTTCCTTTTGCCTTTGACTTTTTTTCAGGGCATGTTTATTCACAAAGATGCGGATGGACTAAACTAAATGCATGCATGGGCGCCCGCAGGTAGGGGCAAGGTGGGGCACTTCCCCCCCCCCCAATTGATTGGATAAAAAATGTTTAGACAAAAAATATATTAAAGTAAAGAGAAAATAAAGAGAAAGTAACTAAGCTGATGTCCTGTCGGTTGGTTCACCATACAAATATTTTCAGTAAATTAAAACTACATTAAAACATNCCCCCCCCCCCCCCCGAAAGTTTTCTGCGGGCGCTCATGAATGCATGGGCATTGTGTATGATCATATGACAGGATGACAGGCCATGTCTGGTCCAAAGATTAATAAAACATGTTCACATTTTGAGCTTGAGGGGAGTACAGCCCTAGATGGGTCACACATATAGATTTCACATATAGATCACACATTCAGACGATATAACTAAGAAGTATTTTTGAATGCTGTTTGAAATCAGTTGTGGGTTAAGATTTACCTCCCAGCCAAATCCACCAGATTGATGACAGCGGATTTGGTAGTGTCCTCCCCTGCCGCATTCCGGAACTTCTGGATGAAGTTGATCCCAACAATTGTGTGAGCGCGGCTGTAGGATGCGAAACAAACGTGTACAAATAGATTTTTTGTTCGGAGATTTTGGCATTTTAAAATTACTTGACCTCGTTTAAAATGGACTTTTTGCAACAGATGATAATATTTTTATGAAAATTTTAACTGATAAAAGATTAGGAGATAGCGGATAGGCCATGGTAAATTTATTTTTTCAAGAGTATTAAGTCTACAGCTATTTCATAAAACAAAATTTGCATTTAATGCATTTTTATAACACTTGGTGGTTGGGAGGCGGAAACCCATTTCTCGGTTTATAAAAATAAACTGATCAAAATCATAAGGGCGCAATCAATATTCATCAAAGACGATGGAACATCTGAACAAATGGAGCGTTTTTGGCAAGAATTAACGACGGATCGAATGGTAAACGGAGATTACAAAAATTTAGGATTTTTAAAAAAATAATTTCCGAATGCAATCCGTTCGTCTGGTTCGTTTCCCTTACACAATTTCCCCTGTGCTGGTTCCCATCAACAAAATATTTGCACTGCATTGTATTGTTCCCCGGAATGCGCAACGTGTCAGACTTTTAGAACCCAATCAATACGTTAACACATTACAGGTCGATTGGGTCACTTATTTGGTACTCCATGACTGAGTTGTGGTATCGATCTGTCGGGCCACGGCAATAGTTCAATAACCGATATCAATTCTCGATAATTCTAGTCGACCCACTCAACATTAATTTGTAAGAGAGGGGGCAGTGACGATAAGGGGATTTAACTCAAAAACTAAACAAAAGCACAGCGCATGCGTGTGATAAAGTCTTATAAAAGGGGAGACGTTTTGAAGTTCAGAGCCAGGATGCAAGTCGGGAACAGGGTTTGTGTGAGTGCGTCTGTCTGTATGTGTGCGTCTGCTTACACTTGCACCCAACGATCTTAGGCTGAGAGAGCTACCCCGTGATTGGTGTACAATAGCTACAACTCGTGGTTGTAAACATACTGTGCAATCCCACTAAAAACTTTGGTTCACAAATCCCGATTAAAACCATGAAGGGCTAATGTGAAGAGATGGTTCCATGACGTCACGTTGCATTGTTTATTTAAGTTGCCGCGAATTAGAGTTCAGGCTAGGTTTAGGGATACCTTTTGACATTAGTTCGTGGGTCGCGATAACAAAGATGGCGGCGACGATGAAAAAACGCGGGAATATCTCTTCACATTTACTCCATGAAAGCAATAATTATAATAATATTACCCCCGCGTCGGTATGGGGAAATCTGCCAAGAGAATGTTTGATGGTGTTTAAGTTTTAAAAAACTCGTCATTTGTTGACGCCAGAGGATTTCATCAATGTAGCCACAACCTTACAGTTTGTTTAAGTTTCGATGTCAATGTTTGTCTCTACGATATTGATGCATGACTGAATATCCCCACAATATTTTCTGTTTCAAGCTGTGCTCTCGCGGCAGTTAAAACTTTGATTAGATCTATACGGTCCAGTGTGGATGGAATCAGAAAGAAGTCACACGGAGTGCGCTTTTTTGAAGCTATTGCGCCTAAATTATGGAACAGTTTGCCCCAATCTTTGAGGGAAAGTAAATTGATAAAAAATCATTTAAGAAACGCTTAAGGACTGTTTCTTTAAATAGATTTTAGGACATCAGAGCGCTGTGAGCATGCTAAAAATAGCATGGAAACAAGCGCTATAAGTATTTAGTCATCATCATCATGCATCACGTGTCATATTTAAGACGACTTTTTAAATGATAAAATATTTGCCAATGCATTTAATGCCAGTTTTGATAGAACATAGGCATTCCCATTACCCTCACTGTTATTCTTTTCATAGAACTTAGGCCCTCCCATTAATCTCCCTGTTCTTTTTATATAATTAAGGCATTCCCATTACCCTCCCTGCTAGTTTCGTAGAACTTAGGCATTCCCATTACCTTCCCTGTTCTTTTCATAGAATTTAGGCGCTCCCATTACCCCTCGCTTTGTCCACGGTGGTTTCTTGCGCCTACATCTGATAAAAAGGACAGGTGAGTAGATGACGGGTTATGTGAGTAGATGCTTGCTTACACATCATACAATGGCAGTAGTTATGTTTACATCTGAATAAAGGGCTTAGGGTTATCTCCGACTGCCACCAGCTAGTTCAACACACTGACACCATAGCTAGTGCACCGCGCCTGTCTGACACGGCTATTACGACTATGTCTACTCAATATGGCAGTATCAACAATTCAGTTTTAAATGTATAGAACTGAGGGAAAAATCACCCGTCCATACCCCCACCCTTCTCCCCCCCCCCATTCAAAACACATCTAAAATGGAGATAAGCTGGTGGGGTTCATAGCACTTCACAGTAAATAATTGTTAACAAATACCGCTCATGTCATATGTCATGCCGTGTCAAATATTATCCAACACCGGAGCTACATTTCTTCTTTTTTGTCCGACCACTTTCAAATCATCGATTATGCTGATGAGCGGTTTGAGGTGTCGTTTGATTGTTGCCTGTTTGGGGGGCAACAGACTCCATGGGGATGAACGTTTGTTTTACGACGCCCTGTGCCCACACTGACGTCACACCCGACTGTGCGCGCGGTTGGCTGTATACAGTATTTAAAGTGCATCCTATTTGACGTTGGTTGAGTGGAGGAACAAATGTGTACTCGCCTTGCAGGGGGTCGTCAATGGGATGTGAATGGGTCGATCTTAGGTGGTTGTTGTGTCTTTAATGCGGTCGGAATATGTCGTGAATGACACTTTTCGATTCTGTCCACCCTGCATTAAAAGTTGATAGTTGAATTTTTCCCACACCACAACTTGGGCCCCTTATAAATCGACGCCCCCCACCCCCTTTTGCAGCATCAATGAATACTGGGCCCATGCGACATCTTGGGTGGGGAGAGGGGTTAGATTGGGGGGGGGGGGCTGTAAATTTATTCTACATGAATTGTTTACTCTGACGGAGTCCTAGTTGAACTAAATTGCAGTTCAACAACAACAATCAGAAGTGGAACAGCAATCATTTCAATCCCTACATTGTTTCTTTAGCTGATATAAACCATCTGAATCAATGTCACGTGGGAAAACGAGCAGTTTGAGAAGCCCCGTTGTCCGTCACGGTGGTGTTGTTGTATACAATATTTACAAGTGAACCATAGCAGCACGGTTTAATCATTGATCCGTCGATTGATTATTCCCACATATCGAGCTAGTATTGAGGTCAGTACACTGGGTCCGGCATTGTTCTTGAAAAATTGGGACTACAAACATTCTAAGCCGAGCAAAAAATTGGCGCGACTTTCGTTGACGCAACTCTCCCTATTGATACGTGGTATCGCTGGTTCCGGTACAAGCACACACCAGAACTCCCTTTATGACGCCGTGAGAAGACTTTCAAAGTCAAGAGTAGCTGTGTGTCAGTTGCATTTATTTTTGTCACTGACATAATAACATATTTACATGTCACAGAAAACGTCATTGCATTTATCCGGAGTTGTTGTTTATTTTTTGCCATTTGTCTAAAACTCGCTATTCAGACAAAATGGTTTGATGTCAATGTCTTATTACATTTTTTAAAGATTACTAAATATTACTGAAATATTGATATTGTTTGTCTACGTAGAAATGTCTAAAGTGAAAATTATTTCATGTATTTCATGATATGATTAATGAAAACAAACACCTCACCCTACAAAACTGGAATGGGACAGACCAACGACCGTCAACCTTTCAGACCTGCAGTTGTGGTGAAACTCAGACTCCTTGTCGGGAGGTTTGACAGAATGACGATCAAACGATATATGTAACATACCAACTAACAGTTGACTTTGTACCGCGCTTCGAGCCTTTGGGGATGAAGCGTGTTTTTGAAATGAACTTTATTATCATTATTATTAACAACCAAGCCAACCAACAACCGAGCCAACCAACAACCGAGCCAACCAACAACCGAGCCAACCAACAACCGAGCCAACCAACAACCAAACCAACCGACAACCGAGCCAACCAGGGACACGCTGACTGAAGTTACACAGTTTCAAAGAGACGAAACATATGTGACGTATTCGTTGTAAGTTGTACACTCGTCAATAACTCGTTAAATTTAGCAGGGGCGTCACCAGAATGCGTTAGAGAAGTTGCCGAAACACGTAAAGTGATGAGACAGTGCAACGGATGCCACTGCAAGTGTATTTTTTTACAAATGTTTCCATTTAGTAAGCTTTTCGCATGATCGTATGTTTCGAAATCCCACATGGCGACAGGAACCACCGGGCAGGCAACCACGAACCGCCTCTCAACGTCACACTTACTTGGTCCAATGATTTTACAAAAGATTAGTGAGGCAATCAATAAGAACCCGAAAAATTCAATGGTACGTGTGCACCACCATATAAGGGCGTATAAAGTAGGTGGGCGGATAGGGGTGTGGGTGCTGCGGTCCACTTAGAGAGGCGCTTGTTTTCTTTAAAATGAGGGGGCGGCATTTTCTATCAACTGTAGACAGTTTTTTGTTCGTGACAGTTAAAGATGGGGGGGGGGTGTCAAAAATATTGTCCAGCCCCGGGCGGCACGTCCACTAGCCACGCCACTGATTGAAAATACATATCAGTGAGGTCACGGGCAGATGAGTGTTCGCATGGATAATTGTAGTTAATAATTGAACACACCAGTAACTGAGCTATCACATTAGCAGCACAGCTCAGACTTCATGGTTGATGGTTTACTCTAGAAACATCGCTGTGCCAGGGTAATAAGGGGGGAATACTGCAACCAGGTTAGGTAAAATAAAAAGGAAATGAGCGAAATAAAGTATGGGGAGAACTATTTTAAAAAATGATTCAACAAAATAACGAACGTGTCGGCAAGATGCCTTCTTCGGGGAACAAACTACAGTAAGAATAATATAAAATTAACATAAACACTTAGCTGTAATATAGTATCTGAGAGGACAGAGGGGGGGGGGGACGTAGTGTGCTAGTCTGTACTCCCCCCCCCCCCTGTAAACCCCCCCCCCCCCGGAGAGAAGACAGAAAGAGGAACGTAGTGTGCTAGTCTGTACCCCTTCCCCCGAGAGAGAGGACAGAAAGAGGAACATAGTGTGCTAGTCTGTACCCCTAGAGGGCAACCCAACCCACTGAATTACGAAAGGACTTTAAAAAAAAAATTGTGTAAACAAACCAGACTTACATTTTTATTTCTTTCCTACTCAAACCTTTTATTTCATAATAGTAGTTTAGAAAATCGTTGTTGGTGGAGGGAGAACTAAGGGTGATAATGATGAATGACGTCATTGCAATACCGGGTATTAAGGTGTAGGGCGGTGGTGCTCAACATTCCTGATGCCGCGACCCTTCAATACAGTTCCTCATGTTGCGTTGACCCCCCCCCCCCGCCCCCGCCAACCATAAAATTATTTTTGTTTATACTTCATAAATATGTGTTTTCCGATGTTCTTGTGCGATACGTGTGTAAGGGTCGTTCGACTCCCCGAAGGGGTCGCGACCCACAGGTTGAGAACCGCTGGTGTAGGGGGAGTCTCGTCAGAACACTGGGCTACTCCCAGCGCTGTTGACGTCGTGTTTCAGTTTCGGCTAGTTTAAGCAATCTTCAAATACTACTTTAGACCCCCTAATGTAAAAAATGTTCGTTTCCCCTGTGCCTACAATGAATGAACTCTACCGAAACAAATCCTGTGAAAAAATGGCTATTTGGCGAGTTACAAAGAAGGCAAATGTCTACTTCCGGTTCTTTTGTACGCGTCGCTAAGCCGTGACATCATTTCCAATGGGGTTATCATACCACCAAAAGGGGGCCATCATCTGGAGAAAACACTAAGCGGGGTCTACCATCTGAGGGAAAACACGAACTATGGTAACTACCATCTGACGAAAGCACCATCTAAGTGGGGCCCCCGTCTGAGGAAAACACCATCTAAGAGGAGACCACCCACCCAGGAAACACTATCTAAGAGGAGACCACATGCTGGGGAAAATACCGGCTAAGGGGCAAGAATTCTGAAGAGTTTTGTAATCAGATCAATAAGAAGTCAATGAAAGCCCATGACTTTGAACCCCTGCGCGGTCTCCATACATGTTATCACAGAACTGTACCCAGGCGCGAGGGAGTGGGACTTAGACCACTGCTTCAAAACAAGTGCAAGTGAATAAGTAGGTTACCAAAAGAAAATTATGCAATTGCAAATGTATAAAAGGTACATCTATTAATTAACAGTTTATTTGAAGAAAAATGTGCAGTAGTCAAACCCTGAGCAAAATATCTGTCATATTTAACTCTTCTGAAATCATTCTTTCCTTAGATATTGTAGCTAAAACAATTAAAACATAATACAAAGGGATAGCAAAAATACAAGAAATATATACAATGAAACCAGAAGGAAGTCCATGACAATGTGCTGAAAGGAAAAAAATAAAAGAAAGTAAAAAGCTAAACTTAAGGAAATCAAAGATTTTCAAGAGAGGGAAAAGTTAAAAGATAAAAGACGAAATGAATAGCTACCAAGCCAGTCCTCATACTCAAATGAGTGAGAGCAATGATGGAGAATCAATTGCAGAAAATAGTAAAGTACTGTACTGATGAGTTGAATATTTTGAGGGAATACTAAAAGTAGACCAAGGGCAAGATGAAGATTTTGGACCACTACAGAGGTAATCAACTCTGAAAAATTACAAAGCTCCTTGAAAACACCTCATCACAGCAGAGCTTATTGAGGAAGATAACTACACTCAGACACAAAGTTATAAAAAAATTTGGCAAGAGTTGAAAGTTCCAACAGATTGGGAAACATTCCTAATAACTCCAACACACAAGAAAGGTTCAAAAATGCACAAGTTACAGAAGAATTTCCCTTTTAATTGTTACATACAAATACTGAAAAAATTAATTGCCAAAAAAATAAAACCGTACACTTAACAAATACAGGCGACTACAATATGGATTCAGACAAAACAGATCAACGAGTGATCAGATTTTCAACATCACATGCCTATTAGAGAAATGTTACGAGTATAATTAATAGCCTAGTACATCAATTCTATGTGGACATATAAAATGGTCTATGACTGCATCAAAAGGAAATATCTGAGACTCTGCAAGAGTTTTGCAAGCACAAAAAACTTCCATGACTGATACATATAATATTTAACAATGCAAAAAAGCAAAATAGAGGTTCAGGGTGAATTTTAAGGGAATTTAAGATTGGACGACAAAGAGACTAACTTTAATCATGAGAGCAGCACCTGACTCTCTTATTGTTATGTTTGAAAAGACTCCACATCTGTATCTACTAATTTAATCACGTCAAATTAAATATCATCGGTTTATCATCCCATCGGGTAGGCTATAATCTCTAACCTGCTTGTTGCGTTCATATTGGTGGCTGCCACGGTTCTATTCCTTGTCCCCTCATCCATCTTCTGTTCAATATCTTTGTAGCTCCTCACCGGTACAATAAGCAGGCCTTCCACTGATAGAGTCGACAACAAAGACAACTTTTAAACAAAAATGTGTTACAAAATATTTACACCCCATCATATAGGTTTTAACATTGGTCAGTGCCATTAAAATATCTTGTGACATTGTTTGTTTTTATAGGGATTAAAAGTTGTTGTTTTTTTAATCATTAAAAAATTTAATTTAGTAAAAATGTCAAATGTCTTAAAGCAGGTAAAAATGTCTTAAAGCAAGTAAAAATGTCTTAAAGCAAGTTTAAATGTCTTAAAGCAGGTACAAATGTCTTAAAGCAGGTACTAATGTCTTAAAGCAAGTTCAAATGTCTTAAAGAAAGTAAAAATGTCTTAAAGCAGGTACAAATGTCCTAAAGCAGGTACAAATGTCTTAAAGCAAGTACAAATGTCTTAAGGTGGTCCATGGGTCAAAAAAAATTTTTCTATGTTTCTTAAATTAAAAATTTTTTTTTTAGTACATACTAACTATACACCAATAGAAAGACAAAAAAACATAGAAGTTTATTTTTAAAAAAAATTTTTTGACTTTTATTGCAAAAATTATATAATTTTATACAAATATTGACAGTTACGCAAAATGTATCAACACCCAAAAGATTTATCAACATCATAATGAAACTTGGCACACTCATTAAGAATAGAGTTGTTAAAAAAATTACAAAAGCTTTCTGCATTACAGTTATTGGAGCATCTACAAATGACATATTTGTGGAGTCACATAATTTTCTGGCAAAATACCGGGGGTAGCATATGTAAAAATATAATTTTAAAAGTTCTGTTGGACAGATCTGAAAAAAGGAGATGTCACTTTGTAGATAATATCAATGGTAAGAAGCATGGAAAGTTTGAAGCCTGTAGCTGTTATACTTTTCCTCCTGATGCAATTGGCATTCCTAAAAAATCTGAAAAACATGAAGTTGAGAAAAACGAAAAAGAAGTCCAAAAATGTTTTTTTTTAAAAATTAAAGACGACATGAACAAGATATAATGCATAAAACGTGTACATATACTATTCATAAATGAAAAACCAATATAAAAATACAGATATAAAAGATAGAAAATTAACAAAGTCATATTTTCAAACATCAACCTCCCTGTCCCAAATAAAAAGTGTATAACAATAAAAAATAATTAAAATTTTTCTGTTGGACTGATCCAGAGGAGGGAGATGTCATTATGTAGATAATATCAATGGTAAAAAGCATGGAAAGTGTGAAGCCTGTATCTGTAATACTTTTCTTCCTGATACATTTCGCGTCCATGAAAAATCTGAAAAATGCAAAGTTGTGAAAAACGAAAAATAATTTTTTTTTAATTAAAGACTACTTGAACAATGTAGGATGTATATACCATGTACAAGAACCATTCATAAAATTAAAAAACAATAAAAAACACAGATATAAAACACATAAAATTAATAAAGTCACGTTTTCAAAATAACAACCCCCATCCCAAATAAAATTATAATAATAATAAAAATAATTTTTAAATCTCTGCTTGACATATCTAAAAGAAGGAGGTGTTATTATGTAGATAATATCAATGGTAAAAAGCATGGAAAGTTTGAAGTCTGTAGCTATAATACTTTTCCTCGTGATGCATTTGGCTTGGCATTCCTGAAAATCTGAAAAAACGCAAAGTTGAGAAAAACAAAATATTTAAAAAAAAATTAAAGTCTACTTATTTAACAACATTGGATGCATATACCATGTACATATACTATTCATAAATGAAAAAACAATACAAAAACACAGATATATATGATAGAAAATAATAAAAGTCATGTTTTTAAAAGCAACCCCTTGTCGTAAATAACATGATTATATAAAAAATTCTGGAAAAATTGTCTATCATGTGAGTGTGAGGTATTTAGATATAACACTATCCCTCCTGAGTGAGCCAACTCCCATCATAGGACCATCATCAATGTCTACTACCTCTGCAACTTATCCTTGTAGATTGGTAGCGATTGATGCAGGGTGGTAGTGTAGCACTCTGGTCGATTGTTTTTTGGTGAATGTTTGGTACATCCATTATTTGGAAAAACTTCCCCATACCAGCATGCCACAATCCAGTCACTAATGATGCTGTCGCAGCTCTTTTGCCGACATAAAAAATGTTGCCTTTGCATACAACTAACGTGTCAGATGATGGGATGACAACGTCACATACATTACATACGACTTTTAAAAATAACGCTAGTCTATAAAGTTATTTTCACCACTGTGAACCTTGAAGTGTCCTACTTGCATACTGGGCATGAAAACGTTTGAAAAATGGGCTAGAGGGCATCTATCTGCATGATAGATGAGGCAGAGAAGCCTATGGTATGATTGATATTCCAAAGCATGAAGTTTGTTCTTCGAAGCATACGATGCCATAGATTCTTCAGATATTGAAGCTGGCGTTGAGGCTGGTGCCGAAGCTGGCGATGAGGCTGGTGCCAAAGCTGGCGATGAGGCTGGTGCCAAAGCTGGCGATGAGGCTGGTGCCGAAGCTGGCAGTGAGGCTGGTGCCGAAGCTGACGGTGAGGCTGGTGCCGAAGTTTGCGGTGAGGCTAGTGCTGAGGCTTGCGGTGAAGTTGGTGCTAGTCTGGCTTTCTCTAGTTACTTGGACTTGGATCACTTGTTCTTGGGGACAGGGATTTTCTGTATTATGGAAAAAAAAATGTTTATATTAGCTTTTGAAACATAAAATTATATTAGTATTAGACTGAGCAATTAGCTCCTAGTTAGCCTGGCAAAGGTAAATAGAATCAGTATTTTTTTGTTTTTTTAAATCTAAGGTAATGAATATATTGAAATATTTTTTGTATTACAATTTTGTATATTTAGGCATAAAGTAGCTTTCAATTTGATTCATAAGCCTACGCTCATTACATTTTTATATGTCTGCGTATATCACTGTTTCGTAGTAGTATTAGTACTAGTCACTAGTAAGTAGGCCTAGTTACTAGTTACTAGCCCTAGTGATAATGACACTGTATTATTATACGAAACCTAGCTCAACCTTCACTCGAACGCCTAAAACTAGCTAAAACTATTTAATATAAATTAAATTATACAATAATTAATTCAACTTACCTTTTCAAAGCAAAAAAATAAGTTCAAATTTGAATTTATTTGAAGACTGCAAAAGTAAAGTCGATCGATCGATAAAAGGTTACGCCAACTGGACACAATGAATTTGGTAGACGGCCATTGCATTGTGGGATAGATTTCTGACTTGTTGATGAAGTCTAAAAATAGCTGACCAATGACAATATCCGATTTATTGAAACTTTAAATCTCGACCAATAAGAACATTTGTTCGAGCGAAAATATAGAGGCTTTGCCGAACAAAGAGCTCCCGCCAGCCTTATTTCTGAACATTTTAGTGGGCGATACCATTACCGAGTAGAGAGGCTAAGCTTTCCATCGATACCAAATATGACTATATTGCGTTGTAATTATATTGTAAAAGCGAAGGGTGCGCCAGGGGGTCTATGGGGCCTGAATTTTGCCCCAGAAGTCAAAATTTGCTCCTACCATGCTACTTTAAAATACATTTTTAACAACTTTAAATTATTTTTTAATGAAAATGGTAAAAACCAAAATGTTCCTTAGATGTTTATCTAGTAAAATTCACCATAATCTCATTTTTGATAAAAATTATATAAATATCGATATTTTCCCCCGTGGACCACCTTAAAGCAGGTACAAATATCTTAAAGCAGGTACAGATGTCTTAAAACAGGTAAAAAATGTCTTAAAGCAAGTACAACTGTCTTAAAGCAAGTTCAAATGTATTATAGCAGGTACAAAAGTCTTAAAGCAGGTACAAATGTCTTAAAGCAAGTTCAAATGTCTTAAAGCAAGTTCAAATGTCTTAAAGCAAGTACAAATGTCTTAAATCAGGTAAAAAAATGTCTTAAAGCAAGTACAAATGTCTTAAAGCAGGTAAAAATTTCTTAAAGCAGGTACAAATGTCTTAAAGCAGGTACAAATGTCTTAAAGCGAGTACAAATGTCTTAAAGCAAGTACAAATGTATTAAACCAGGTAAAAAATGTCTTAAAGCAAGTACTAATGTCTTAAAGCAAGTACTAATGTCTTAAAGCAAGTACTAATGTCTTAAAGCAAGTACTAATGTCTTAAAGCAAGTACTAATGTCTTAAAGCAAGTACTGATGTCTTAAAGCAAGTACTTATGTCTTAAAGCAAGTACTGATGTCTTAAAGCAAGTACTAATGTCTTAAAGCAAGTACTAATGTCTTAAAGCAAGTACTTATGTCTTAAAGCAAGTACTGATGTCTTAAAGCAAGTACTTATGTCTTAAAGCAAGTACTGATGTCTTAAAGCAAGTACTAATGTCTTAAAGCAAGTACTAATGTCTTAAAGCAAGTACTTATGTCTTAAAGCAAGTACTGATGTCTTAAAGCAAGTACTAATGTCTTAAAGCAAGTACTTATGTCTTAAAGCAAGTACTAATTTCTTAAAGCAAGTACAAAATGTCTTAAAGCAAGTACTAATGTTTTAAAGCAAGTACTAATGTCTTAAAGCAAGTAGCCTACAAATGTCTTAAAGCAGGTACTTATGTCTTAAAGCAAGTACTAATGTCTTAAAGCAGGTACTAATGTCTTAAAGCAAGTACTAATGTGTTAAAGCAAGTACTAATGTCTTAAAGCAAGTACTAATGTCTTAAAGCAAGCACTAATGTCTTAAAGCAAGTACTAATGTCTTAAAGCAGGTACTAATGTCTTCAACCTTGCCAGAATGTTCAGTTTAATATCATTGAATATATTTACCATAAAATCCACTTTTGGGATGTTGCCTTATCCTGAGACCTCCCCTTTTGTTTCCCCCATTTGCATCAAGGAGGTCCCTGACCTGCTCGTTGTAGATCTCCAACATACTGTAGGTGACCTAAAGAGAATAAAACACCGGGAAACAGCCAACGTACAGAATGAGACTGTCATTGTAAAAAAACAACAACTGAAAGACACTTCTAGAGAACAATAATGTGAGACACTCAGTTACACGAGTAGGATTTAAACTTATCATCTGTGGGAATGTAATGTTGATAAAAAGGCTGATGATACATTTTAATAATGCAAAAGTGTAATTTAATCCTTCTTGCACTGAGTCTAAATATTCCCCTTGAAATTTATACTTTAAAGTTAAGAAAAATAATCTTATTCAATCAAGAAATATACAGAATTTGTTTTTCCTTTTCTTTTTTTTTTTTTTTACATTTCAAATGTGCATAATAGGATAGTGCAGGCTTTGCCTCTAACTTAAACATCATCCGGCCAAACTTACCTCAAATTCTGTTTTGTCGCCAGCTTTTTGTTTTTCTTCAATTCCTTTAAAAATATTCTCACAGAACAATGGGACCACCCCTGCAGCAAGAGTTATCATAAATTGTTAGTTGTACCAGAAATTAAAAGATTCAATCCCCCACACACACATTTCATTGTGTCGTCTATGCATATGTATGATCATGAATGTCAGAAAAACTAACATTTTATTACAATAGACAAAAAAAGTATTTTCAAAAGTAACCCAGTATTTGACCTCTTTAGGAAGAGCAGTTTTACTTTGTGTGGGTTTGTTGTTGTTTTTGGGGGCAAAGGCTCTGCTATTTTAAATATCTTAAAATTATTGAAGCACTCTTAAAATCAATTTTACCTGTTAAATTTTAATTTTAAAAATGTTAAGAGTTTAAAAAAAACAACAAAAAAACACAGTTTATGACCAAACATTTTTTTAAAAGTTTATAATCCAAAAGCATGAGCACATTATACCAACCTTTGTTGACTCCATAACCAACAATGGACCAACTTTTCCCAGATCCTGTCTGGCCATAGGCAAACAGAGTTGAGTTGAAACCCTCCCATGCATTCTTCAAAACTCCTTCCCCAAGATCTTGGTAAACTTTGTTCTAGAGAATTAAACATGTAAATACTTGATGACAACAAAGGGGTGTTTACATTTTAATTTAAAAAAATGGAATTATATAAGTATTTATAATTTAAAAGTAAAAAAGTTAAACATTGCCATAAAAATTTAAATTAAGAGTTTTTAAATTAGTTACATCCTTATTTAACGTTGTATTAACAAAAAACTTTTAAATTTACTTCACAAACAAATATTTAGATTAAGATAATATATATTTTGTATTTACTTTTAAATGCCTTTTAAATGAATTTCATAATTAAATAATACACACACGGTAAAAAATTTAGTTATAGCATGATATACTTCAATTTACAATGAACATTCTAAAAGTTGTCAGTTAATACTTTGACTTTGTCAAAACTAAGTGTTTGAAGATAATGTGCTTGCTCTTGACAGTCTCAAATTTTTGTGAATTGCTAAAGTATTCAAGAACATTTTGTAAAGTAGGTATAGGACTTTAAAAATAATTTTCAATTTTAAGTTTAACATGGTTGTATGCATTAGATTTATCTACTATGAGATCATTAAGTCAAAATACAGATCTTGATATAAAGCAAATTTATTTGAATTAATTTCTAAACTGCATCTTAAAATATTTTAAGCTCGGGAAATTTCGCATTAAATTTTAGTTGAAAACAAGAAGAACAAATATAATTAATTTATTTCATTTAAAATCATCGCTAATTTGTGGGGAGGGGAGAGGGGTGATTTTACTTATCATTATATCAAGTGAAATAACATTAAATATACCCCTGGCCTACCTGATCAGCAAATTTTTTTCCATTTGGATGCGATGTGTCTGACAGCATTGAGCCATCCCCAGCTTCCTTAAATCCATCATGTGACCAGTAGCTGTAATCAAAGTTGAATTTCTTCTCCTCGCCTGTTGAAGGGTTTTTTATGATGGTGGTTTGCCCACTCATATCAATTATACCTACTGCATTTCTCCCTTTCTCTCTGCTATTGTAAAATAGGTTAAGGGAAATTGGGATATAATAAGTAGGCCTGAAAACAATAATAAGTGTTGACAGTAGAAACTGTTAAGTAGTGTTATTAGCTTCCTTTGACAGTAGATATTTGGATCGCTTCAGATGTAGGCCTAACTGTAACCTAAAACCAAATCTATAGTGTAGCCTGTAGGCCTACATTGGTTATGAAAGGAACACATATGAATACTTATATGTTGCCCTTCTTTTAAATATGTTAGACTTTTTTTTATGATTCTAATGATGATGAGTAAAAAGAAATAAAGTTTTAAAAAAGCAAATCAAAAATTAAAAAGGACATGAATCATGACATGATGTCAAATGATGATAGAACATCATCACTGAAACATGTAGACTGTATGTCATATAATATCATATATCTGTAATATCTGCATAGAATAGAATACATTGAGTAATAGCTAAATTAGTTGCCTTATAATACTATTACTATTAACTAATTATGTCAGCTTTTCATGATTTTAATTTTAAAACTCAATAATAGACCTTACTAAATTTAAAGATTACAAGCAAACAACAAAACAGTATTAAATATTGATTCAGAAGCTTAGGCTTAAATCCACAGCCACAGGGACAGGAATATCATGAATCTTTAATTTGACTTTATTTGACACGTTTTGATAATTATTAATTAAACAACTTATTCCAAAAATTGCTTCGTCGTCACTGAGTCATTAGTGATTAGTGTCAGCAGGGGATTATTGTTTGGAGTTGGAGTGTAACAGTAACAGTACTAACACTGACACTGACACATCATTAAATTTAATGAAATTAGGCCTAATAAATTAAATTAAACTATAACTTTTTAAAATAGAATAAGATTAAATAAAAAAATATTTTTAAAATATAATTAATTGTTTTCTTGAAATTAAGATAAAAAGTCAGAATAAAATTAGCCTATAATACCAATATTAAGAAAAACTTTTTAATTTTAAAGCTAAAATTTAAAAACAGGCGCAAAAGGATATAAATGGTCGCACTCGGACAGCAACTTTAACATTTTCTTCCGGCATTTTGATGCCTTCCTAAAATATGTCACCAAAAAAAATATTTCAATGTTTTTAACTGCAGCTATTGTTTATGCACATGACATAACACTAATATCGTCGTTCACAGACTGCTTCAAGTGTTCAAATGAAGCTCGCGAACCGCCATGCCTGTAAACTTGTTTATCGGTTGCCTAGTGACGTATGTCGCAATGTTACTAAACACAGGCCGTGTGGTTAATTTGCCCGCGTAGGTGAATCACTTGGCTGAATTCATTGACTCGATATGGAAATAATTTATGTGAATAAATATAGCATTGAAAAAATAATGTATTCAAATAGTAAAGGAAATTATCTAAATCATGTCTGGTTATTAAAATGAATTCGAAGTCTAGTCAGCTATATATATATATATATAAAGTAAACTATGTATAGTGACACTGACAGGGACAGATATTGAAGGTGATTGTTCTAGTTCTATCTAGCTCTAAGTTTTTTTACCGTTTCTTATTAGCGTGGCCTTATTACGTAGTATTACAGTTTAGCCAGTGACAACAGATGTCGTGTGACATTGTGGGGAGGGGGTTGTTGTATGTTGGAGAAAGAGAGGGAGAGAGAGAGGGGGGGGGGCAAAACTAGGTTCAATTGAAGCTTGTTATAATTTTTATTGTTAAAAAGCTGGAGTTAAATTTAATCAGTGATTTAACCCTTCGGGGCATGCGAATAAATGAGCCAGCACGCTTGAAATGTTATTGTAGCACAAGTAGGAAGTAGGTTACAAGCATATAAAGCATGTGTTGACACTTCGCACTGAACACTAGTGCAGTTGCGTGGCTCTCTATGAGACCCGCTGTCAACGTGTTTTTTTGTTTTTTTTCGTCATCAATAAGGCCTTTGTTATCTACAAGCCTCTAGCGGCAGCCTTTTCGCCCCCGTCACTAGCTCAGTACTTATGATGCGGTGTTTATGTAGAGGGCCAGGAGTGCCCAGTACCACTTAGAGATGCACACTGTTAATATTTGAGTGTAATAAGGGGAGAGATTGCAATTTGGTTAGCACAATATGAAATGACTAAAACAAAGTAGGAATAAACCTGAAAAAAAGGAACGCAACAAAACAACGAACGTGTTGGCAGGAAGCCTTCGTGAGTGAACAAAACAACAGGAAAAAGCAGAATAAAATTAAAACTTACTTTCGGTCACAATTCATTTGCTCCCCTTATTGATACTACTTCTAAGCTAAGTGCTATTTTTTTAATTTTAATTTGTTCTGTCTTTTCCTGTTGTTCTGTCTTTTCCTTTTTCTCTGGGTCTCTGCCCTCTGCAGGTGTCCAAAAAAATGCCGCCCCTAAATATATAGAATAAAGCCCCCCCCCCACCCTTTCCCTAACCCCTTCCCCCATAATCCTTGTGACTAATTGTAACTAATTATTATTAGAAATCACATATTCACGTGGCACTCGGGGAGTTAAGCTGGACAAACATGAATGAATGCACAACACCGTCTCTGTTGAGCCTTGGGTTAGAACTTAGCATAATCATGAAACACAAGAAATAAATGATGTATCATCATTACAAAGTGAGCCACGAAGGAGTTATCTATCAGCTTTTTGCTTCACTGATGTTTTAGATCAGGAGTCTCCAAACTACGGCCCGCGGTCCGCATGCGGCCCGCGACGCCCTCTCATGCGGCCCGCGGAGAACTTTGTGTCTACGGCAAAAAAACCCGGAAATGGACGTGTATCCTGCCAAGATCAGACGCCGCTTACGTGAACGTTATGCTTTTATCGAATTAAATAGAGGCGTGCAGTAGTGAGTTATGTTTTCTAACCGATCATTACTTGGCAAAACCTTATTCGCTGTTGAGTTTTCTTACTTCCGTTCCCAGTCAATGAGACCATCTAGTAACGTAGCTTTGCCCGCCGTGTTGCATACATGGGTGAAAACATTGTGACTCAAATAGTGAAAAATACAAGCGTGTTTCGCAAATTTTTATTTACAATGGATGAATCGCTGGACAGCTGTTCCACCTCTCAACTTTTTGTGTTCTTTAGGGGGGTTTGGATGAAAACATGAACATAACACAAGAGCTGGCTTCCCAAAAAGCATGTACGGACCTGTTACCGATGAGTTGAAAAAAAAACATTTGCTGATTATTACTTGGACTGGACTAATCTCATTTGCCTGACTGCTGACGGAGGAGAGAACATGAGTGGCATAAAGAAAAGGCTTGGTTGGACATGTGAAGCAGATGTGTAATGAGAAAAAAAATTCTGCAACCAATGTTCCTGCACTGTATTATTCACCAGAAAGCTTTTTGTGCTAAATATTTGGACATTAGCAGTGTATTGAATCCTGTGGTTAAGAGGGTTAATTTAATACGGTCACATGGGCTCAACCATAGACATTTCAGAGACCTGTTGAAAGATACAGACACAGAATCGCAAAATGTACCATATTACACAGCAATAAGATGGCTAAGAGATGGAAACTCTGAAATCAAACCCGGAGATGGAGTCCCGAAAGGCGGATAACATTGATACAATGAAACATTCCGACAACTCCTGCGATGTCACTGGTGCCAAGCTGTATCATCCAATGATGTTCCCTTGGGTTATCCAGAGAGAGGCAAATTGCTGTTGGGAACCAGCTTATAATCCTTGAAGAATAATCCAAGGCAATGAGGATTTCGTCCTCCGAAGCCCACTCCATCGTCACATTGTGATGGAGGGATGCCAGCAAAGATGGCTAAGTTGTGAGAAAGTTCTGAGCAGTGTATTTAAGTTAAGAAAGGAAATAGGTGACTTCCTGGAAAGTAAAGGCAAGCCACATCCATTACTGTCAGATGAAGAGTGGGTATGGCAAATGGCCTTTGCTGCAGACATAACTAGTCATTTAAATTTTCTGAACATAATTTTCGGTGGCCAGGAGAGGAAAATTTAGTTTCTGATCTATACACTCACCTAAAGGCCTTCAGATCCAAACTCCTCTTGTTGTTTTGGAACAAGTACAGGCTAAAAACTTGACGTACTTTCAGCCGTGGTCGGTCTTCATGGCTGAAGCAACAACGGAGTTCCTCACGTCATTTGCATGCGAGATCATCAAAGACCCCCAGCTGCAGTTTCAGCAGCGGTTTTCTGACTTGGATTTAAATGCAGAAGAAGATAGACTTTTTCAAAACCAATTTGAAGCAGATAGGGCTAGTTGCCCAGATAAACTGAAGCTGGAGGTCATTGAGTTGCAAGCAAATGACCTCGTTCCAAGAAGGACTGGTGGGTTTTTACCAGTTTCCGCCCAAGAAAAACTTTCCTAATTTCAAAACTTTTGCATTAATCTTTGGAACAACATACATGTGTTAACAAATATTTTCAAGAACAAAATACTTGGAGAACAATTTGAGAACAAATTTGTCCGATGATCATCTCAGATAACTGTTGATGTTGGGGACATCAAATCTAAATCCAGAAATGTCTGCTAATCACTGCTATTTTTGGCATCCAGGAAACAAAATAACCATTCCAACTAATGCAGGTGTTCATGTGTCGTTTATCAATGTGTTATTAAATAAGTAGTGAATGAAATAATAAACCATAAATAATTTTAAAAAAACATCCATGTTTTGATTATTTTTTATTTTGACCTCGAGTGTGTAATCGGCCCCAGTCCTGCTGTTTGAAAGTTAATGCGGGCTTCGGGCTGAAAAGTTTGGAGACCCCTGTTTTAGATAGTTGATATTGTCATGAAATTCTTTTCAACCTTACATTGTCATGAAATTCTTTTCAACCTTACATCTATCCATCCATCCATCCATCCATCCATCCATCCATCCATCCATCCATCCATCCATCCATCCATCCGTCCATCCGTCCATCCGTCCATCCGTCCATCCGTCCATCCGTCCATCCGTTCATCTGTCCATCTGTCCGTCTGTCCGTCTGTCTGTCTGTCTGTCTGTCTGTCTGTCTATCTGTCTATCTGTCTATCTGTCTATCTGTCTATCTATCTATCTGTCTATCTGTCTATCTATCTATCTATCTATCTATCTATCTATCTATCTATCTATCTATCTATCTATCTATCTATCTATCTATCTATCTATCTATCTATCTATCTATCTATCTATCTATCTATCTCTCTATCTCTCTATCTCTCTATCTCTCTATCTCTCTATCTCTCTATCTCTCTATCTCTCTCTCTATCTCTCTATCTCTCTCTATCTCTCTCTATCTCTATCTCTCTATCTATCTATCTATCTATCTCTCTATCTCTCTATCTCTCTCTCTATCTATCTATCTCTCTATCTATCTATATATCTCTTCTCCCTCCCTCCCTCTCTCTCTCTCTCTCCCTCCCCCCTCTCTCTCTCTCTCTCTCTCTCCCTCCCTCCCTCCCTCCCTCTCTCTCTCTCTCTCTCTCTCTCTCTCTCTCACTGTCTCAATTTTCATTCATATGACGTCATTATTTATGCTGTTCATTATTTTTCATCATAATACAAAAGATGGTATCTCTACTATTCAAAGTTTGAGGTTTCAAACGTAAAGTTTCACTCTTCTTACAAAACGTGTCTGTCGTATCAGCATTGAATCATGTAGCCGCAGATAGTTTGTGACGCCACACTGAGCCATGACAGCTGTATTGATTGCTACACTCTGTGCACTGATGTTTGCCTTGTTACCTTCATTGACGGGGGGCGAGGTCTTATCACCAATGGAAAGTAGCGTCTTCAGCTATGAATTAATTATCAAGAAAGGTTGACCTGAGCTTAAGTTACACTGTGTTTCTTACGATAGGGTTAAGCTAGTATTACTGTTAACAATTCATTGGCGCTGTGTGTTCGACGTTTTAACCAGTGGCGTAGCTAAGGATAGTGTAACTTGGAGTGGGCCAAGGTTTTTTTCCGGGCCCCCCTTCAAAAAAAAACACAAAAACACACACACACAAACACTCTTCCCTTGGCCGCCCTCAATTATAAAGCATAATAGTGACGCCCATGGAACCCCCAATTCCCACGCCCCTGATTTTAAGTAAATAGGAAATGAGTGGCTTTGCAAGGGTTTGCAATGTGCATATTTGTTGTTGTTTTTTTTAATATTGTTAAATTTACCGATGCAATCATTTAACATCCTGATATTCCCACTGGATGAAATATCAGCACAAAATGATAATGAAAATAAAAGGGAAATGACTCAGCAAAATCTAAGCTGGCTGACGATTTACAAAGCTATTTACCTTGGGAGAAAACAAGTTAAAAATTATTTATACACTTGGGGTTGTTGCAAGGTACT